CGGAGGAGGAGGAGGAGGAGGAAGAGGAGGAGGAGAAGGGAAGGAGAGGAGGAGGAGAGGAGAAAGGAGGAGGAGGAGGAGGAGGAGGAGGAGGAGGAGGGGTCGCATAAGCCCTTCGGAGAAACCCTCCATGCGTACCCTCTGCCTCCCTCCCCCTCCCCCTCCACCCCTCCTCGACCTCTTTGCGTTGGAAAGACGTTGGCTTGCGTCAACCGTCGCCTCTTGATGGCCGCGATCCGAGAAACATCAACCCGGAGCGCGGCGCTCGACCGACCTCGAAATTGCAGAACCAGTGCCTGCACGATGGGAAACGACATGGCGAATTACGCTACCGAGGAACCCCATACACTTAAGTTAAATCTTACGTGTTTGCTTAAGTTTATACTATATGCGCAATTCTGCGTTATCAGCCCTCGTCGCGAATGTTCCCCTATATGTCATCCAACGCCATATTGCTTGAACCTCCTCCCTCTTCCTAGCCCTCTATCCTCCATCGAGGACAGATTCGAGCCAGCCAGCGGCCGCGGTGAGGGACCACCCCCTGCGCACCCTCTATGGTGTCGAGAAAGTGCCACGCCTGCTATGCCCTGGACGACCGTCGTGCATAGCGGCCGCGGTGAGGGACCACCCCCTGCGCAGCCGCTATGGTGTCGGGAAACTGCAACGCCTGCTATGCCCTGGACGACCGTCGTGCATAGCGGCCGCGGTGAGGGACCACCCCCTGCGCACCCGCTATGACGTCGAGAAAATGCCACGCCTGCTATGCCCTGGACGACTGTCGTGCATAGCGGCCGCGCTGAGGGACCACCCTCTGCGCACCCCCTGTGGTGTCGAGAAAGTGCCACTCCTGCCACGATCTGCGAGCGTGTCACGGATAGAGGCCGCGCTGAAGGACCACCTTTTGCGCACCCCCTGTGGTGTCGAGAAAGTGCCGCTCCTGCCACGATATGCGAACGCGTCACGGATAGAGGCCGCGCTGGGGGACCACCCTGTGCGCACCCCCTGTGGTTTCGAGAAAAATGCCACTCCCTGCCACGATCTGCGAGCGTGTCACGGATAGAGGCCTAGCGCTGAGGGACCACCCCTGCGCACCCCCCGTGGTGTCGAGAACGTGCCACTCCTGTCACGATCTGGAGCGTGTAACGGATAGAGGCCGCGCTGAGGCACCACCCTCATGCGCACCCCCTGTGGTGTCGAGAAAGTGCCACGCCTGCCACGATCTGCGAGCGTGTCACGGATAGAGGCCGCGCTGAGGGACCACCCTCTGCGCACCCCCATGTGGCGTCGAGAAAGTGTCACTCCTGCCACGATCTGCGAGAGTGTCACGGATAGAGGCCGCGCTGAGGGACCACCCTCTGCGCACCCCCTGTGGCGTCGAGAAAGTGCCACTCCTGCCACGATCTGCGAGCGTGTCACGGATAGAGGCCGCGCTGGGGGACCACCCTCTGCGCACCCCCTGTGGTGTCGAGAAAGTACTACTCCTGCCACGATCTGCGAGCGTGTCACGGATAGAGGCCGCGCTGAGGGACCACCCTCTGCGCACCCCCTGTGGTGTCGAGAAAGTGCCACTCCTGCCACGATCTGCGAGCGTGTCACGGATAGAGGCCGCGCTGAGGGACCACCCTCTGCGCACCCCCTGTGGCGTCGAGAAAGTGCCACTCCTGCCAAGATCTGCGAGCGTGTCACGGATAGAGGCCGCGCTGAGGGACCACCCTCTGCGCACCCCCCGTGGTGTCGAGAAAGTACCACTCCTGCCACGATCTGCGAGCGTGTCACGGATAGAGGCCGCGCTGAGGGACCACCCTCTGCGCACCCCCTGTGGTGTCGAGAAAGTAAGTACTCTGCCACGATCTGCGAGCGTGTCACGGATAGAGGCCGCGCTGGGGGACCACCCTCTGCGCACCCCCTGTGGTGTCGAGAAAGTGCCACTACTGCCACGATCTGCGAGCGTGTCACGGATAGAGGCCGCGCTGAGGGACCACCCTCTGCGCACCCCCTGTGGTGTCGAGCAAGTGCCACTCCTGCCAAGATCTGCGAGCGTGTCACGGATAGAGGCCGCGCTGAGGGACCACCACCCTCTGCGCACCCCATGTGGTGTCGAGCAAGTGCCACTCCTGCCACGATCTGCGAGCGTGTCACGGATAGAGGCCGCGCTGAGGGACACCACCCTCTGCGCACCCCTTTTATTGTGTCGAGAACGTTTGCCAATCCCGCACGATCGCGAGTCGTGTCCACGGATAGAGGCCGCGCTGAGGGACACCACCCTCTGCGCACCCCTGTGGTGTCGAGAAAGTGCACTCCGGCCACGATCTGCGAGGTGTCACGGATAGAGGCCGGCGCTGAGGGGGGACCCCCTCTGCGCACCCCCTGTGGTGTCGAGAAAGTGCCACTCTGCCACGATCTTGCGAAGGTGTCAGGATAGAGGCCGCGCTGAGGGAAACCACCCTCTGCGCGCACCCTGTGGCGTCGAGGAAAGTACTACTCCTGCCGCGATCTGCGAGAGTGTCACGGGATAGAGGCCGCGTGAGGGCCCACCCTCTGCGCACCCCTGTGGTGGTCGAGAAACGTGCCCACTCCTGCCACGATTTGCCGAGCGTGTCACGGATAGAGGCGCGCTGAGGGACCACCCTCTGCGCACCCCCATGTGGTGTCGAGAAAGTGCCACTCCTGCCACGATCTGCGAGCGTGTCGCGGATAGAGGCCGCGCTGAGGGACCACCCTCTGCGCACCCCCTGCGGCTTCGAGAAAATGCAACTCCTGCCACGGTCTGCGAGCGTGTCACGGATAGAGGCAGCGCTGAGGGACCACCTCTGCGCACCCCCTGTGGGGTCGAGAAAGTGCCACGCCTGCCACGATCTGCGAGCGTGTCACGGATAAAGCGGCACGCTGAGGGACCACCCTCTGGCGCGCCCCTGTGGAGTCGAGAACGTGCAACTCCGAACTCTGCCACGATCTGCGAGCGTGTCACAGATAGAGGCCGCGCTGAGGGACCACCCTCTGCGCACCCCCTGTGGTGTCGAGAAAGTGCCACTCCTGCCACGATCTGCGAGCGTGTCACGGATAGAGGCCGCGCTGAGGGACCACCCCCTGCGCACCCCCTCTGGTGTCGAGAAAATGCCACGCCTGCTATGACTGGACGACCCTGGCACGCATAGGGAGACCCCCCCCTGCGCACTCAGCTAAGCTGAGCCGAGCTGTGCTGTGCCGTGCTGAGCTGAGCTGAGCGAGGTGAATGAGCGCGGGTGCGGCGCGGCAGGGAAGAGAAGGAGAGGGAGGAGAAGGAGGAGGCGACGCGGGTGAGACGCGGAAAGGAAGAAAACCAGAAACCCACGAAGCATGTGGGGAAAAACCATAACCCCACGAAGCATGTGGGGGATAAAGCGTAGTGTTTAAATTAAGAATGTGGGGTGCTGCGCTGTGCTGTGCTGTGCTGTGCTGAGCTGAGCTGTGCTAAGCTGTGCTGAGCTGAGCTGTGCTGAGCAGTGCTGTGAGGAGGAGGGGAGGTGTGAGGTGAGACGCGGGTGCGACGCGGCAGGGAAGAAAACCAAAACCCCACGAAGCATGTGGGGAAAAACACTGGACAGGAAGAGAAGCCCGACAGGTCAGGAGGCGGCCAGGGGGTCTGAACTGGTTGAGACCCCAGAGCATCGACCAGGAGGGGGGGGTGAGGCCAACTCCTCTCAAAATCTGTCCCCAAAGCCCTCCCTGGATCCTTCTGGTGCTATTCTTCAACCCGGATCTGCGTTTGACGGTCCACGGGGCCCGAAAAAGGCACCCCAGAGGCCGAAACAAGCAAGAGACCTTCCCGAACCCAGCGCCCTGGACCTGCC